ACCGAAAGGGTTAGTCTCTCGTATAACCTACATATCAAAAGAATTATTTTCTTAAAGGGATCTTTTTTCAGATTTTTTCCAGCTTTGTTGAACCAAGTGGTTCGACAACCTTTTGATACACTCAAAGTCTGCATACCAGCTATGGTGTACATTGTTCAAAATAATTTGTTCTATGTTGCTGCGTCACATCTGGATGCTGCTACATTTATGGTTCGTTCTGGCCTTCTCATGAAAGTCCGGTAGCCATGCATTTTCCAAGCTTAGAACGAGAGCTTGAATTGGAAGTTCTATCTCCTGATTGCAAATCTCATAAACCATGGAAAATGTGACGTTGTGTTGAGTAGACCTTTTCCCACTTTCAAGTCCTGCGGAATAGGCATGTGCCTAAAAATCTCACTTTTTACTCAGCAGGAAAGGCATCTCACTTAGACTGACTTCTCATATAGAAGCATATATGTTTGGAATCAGCCCTAGACGCTGATTCTAAAATGTGCTGTTTCTAGCTGTTGCGCATCATTCTGAAACGAGTTTTAATTTTTTTCCTGTGCAAAACTTGCGTGCCATCTGTCCTACTGGCATTACGGTAACACCACCTAGGTGCTAATCTAGCGCAATTCACTTGTGAATGACAAAAGACTTGATTTAATTCAATCTTACTATCCCAGCACCATTTTTAGACAGATTCTCATCTACAGGCAGTTCCCATGTTGAGAATATTCCAAATTCGCAGAAAGAAGCTCATAATTTGCTTCAGAATAATGCGTCGCAGCTAGGAAATAGCATATCTGAATTGTTTGCTGATTTCGATCATATATGTTTCTGTCTGAAAGGCCATCTAAGATAGATGCCTTCCCTTGCCAGATATGAACTGAGTATATTATTAGAAATCGGTTCTTCTTGGTTTCTTTGAAAATTCTATATAAAGTTAACAAACATCCACTTACGCACATTTTGTAGATCACTTCGCAGCTGAAAATCTTCACTGCAGCTATCTTCACGGTCATCATATTGAAGCGTTCATTGACGCGGACGCAGTGGTAATCGGGTGTTTTAAGTTAACTATAATTTTGTACATTAACGTATTTGAAGGTTTGCCCTTGCTATACTCTTCGTTGGTGTGTCCTTGGTGCAGTTGCAAACCTCCAAAACGGATTCGTCCGGTATGGCAGGCCAACGGCCCTTTATAGGTAAGAATTCATTTGTGCTATCAGGCACAGAAGCGAGAATGTTTACTTCTAGGCTTTCTTGCTGTGGTGATCGCTTGCTGTCTATCAGGATTTGCTGGCATTTACTTTGAAAAAATCCTCAAAGGCTCTGCACCCGTCTCTTTATGGATGCGAAACATTCAAATGTGTGTCTTCGCGATTCCAGCGTCATTCGGAGGTGTCATGTGGCAGGTACTGCTTTATCAAATCACCAAAGCAACATCTTCTCCTATATAACGTATTCAGTACTCGATTCTATCTCGTCACTGAGCGGTTTATTCACTGATTTTGGAACACTCGCAAAAGTTAGAACATCGTTCAAATAACATAAGTAGAAGACGTTCGTATGAAAGATTGGTTCCACAATCGAATTTTTCATGTCATTGTTGTCTTTTCAAACAAGCAATTAGATGAGTCTGTGGTGCAAGACGTGAGCGAATCACATGTAAAAATCTCTCTTCGTCACTTTCACTAGCTGGTTGCGACTGAAAGGGAAATTGTCAAGAAGAAAGTGCTCGCTTGTGTCGTTCAAGGCGTTATGAATTACCAAAATATATGACTTTAAATTTTGATACAGTGTTAGAGTTGCTGCTAATCTTTCTGAGAATTAATGGATATGCTATCAAGAAATCTGATTTGAAGCAAATGAGTGCTTAATGAAAAAAATTGAGTCTCCATTGAAGAATTTTTTGAAACACAGTGGGACCATATTTTTGAAAAGCAAGGTTGTCGGACTAAGCATGAACCTTGTCTGTTGTAGAA